GTAACTGCATAGTTAATGGTATCTAGAGATTATCTGCTCTTTTAAAAATATAGAAATACCCAAAAAGAATGATAGTATCACAAAAAATAGGGTTTACTACTGTTTTGCAGTAGGCAGGCTATTGTATTATTTAGTGTATTAAACACACACACCAGGCAACTTGGTTTCAGTCTACTAAAACCCTTCGTTCCATACCTGGTACCATCTGTCTTAACTTTCTTGTTATAACACTCTTCCTGGTGTGCCAAAATTACAAGACTTACAATAAGTATCTCTGGGAAGGCAGGTGTTATTTCCTCTTCCCCCCCCCATCCTAAATTTATTTATTTCAGTGTACACAATTATTAATTATTTAAAATATTTTTATCCTGCTTTTCTCCTTAAAAAAGAACCCAAGGATGCTTACATCATTAAAAAGGCAATACTTGAAAGTTAAAACAATAAGTATACAAATATTTACTTAAAAGTTAAAACAATAAGCATACAAATATTTAAAGATTTAAGAAAGAATTCAAAAAGTATTAAATTAAAAATAGTAAGTAAAATCAATACTTAAACACATTTAAAACAACAGAGCACAACAGTCTGTTTAAAAAACCTTCTTAGACCACCAGACATGAAGGAAAAGCCTGCATGGAGAGAAAGCTCTTTGTTTGTGGAAGGACAACAAAGATGGGGCCAGACTGGCTTCCCATGGGAGGGAGTTCCAGAGTTCGGGGCCAACAACAGAGAAGGCCCTCTCCCGTGTCCCCACCAGGCATGCCTCTGAGGGTCATGGAGGCCTTTATCTTCGACCCTCATGGGACTGAGAGAAAGGCCTCTCTTGATTATCATAAAGCCCAGGCAGGCTCATAGAGGGAGATGCAGTCTTTTGGACAGCTTGGACCCAAGGTGTTTAGGGCTTTATAGGTTAGAACCAGCACTTTGAATTTTGCCTGCAAACGGATCAGCAGCCAGTGGAGCTGCTGTAATGGGGTGTCTCATGATCTCTGTAACCAGCCACGGTCAGCAATCTGGCTGCTGCATTGTGGACCCTCTAGTTTCCACTCTCCAAAGGCAAACCCACACAGAGCATGTTACAGTAATCCAGTCAAGATGTAACTAGGGCATGTGTCACTGTGACCAGATCAGCCTTCTCAAGAAACAGGCACAGCTGGCACACTAGTTTTAATTATGCAGAGGCACTCCTGGCCACCGCTGAAACCTGGGCATCTAGGCTCAGAGATGAATCCTGGCGCATCCCCAAGCTATGTGCCTGTGTTTTCAGATGAGTGTAACCCCATCCATCACAGGCTGCAACCCTATTCCTTGATTTGGTTTTCAACTGACCAGGGGCACCTCTGCCTTGTCTGGATTAAGCTTCAGTTTATTTGCCCTCATCCAGTCCATTACTGACACCAGACACTGATTTAGAATCAAAACAGCTTCCTTGGATTTAGATGGAAAGGAAAGATAGAGTTGGATGTCATTAGCATACTGGTGACACCAAACCTCAAAACTCCAAACAACCTATTTCAGCACTTTCATGAAGATGTTAAATAGCATAGGGGACCTTGGCCATTGCCCTTTAGTGAACCTTGAGAGATACCACAGGGCAACAGCCAGGTTGCCAAATAGTCCCCCAGCACTGCCCTCTCCTCTCCAGGAAGGACTACAGCCACTGTAAGACAGTGCCACCAAGTCCCATCCCAGAGAGACAGCCCAGAAGGATACCATAATAAATTATATCAAAAGCCACTGAGAGGTCCAGCAGAACCAACAGGGGCACACTCCCTCTGTCCAGTTCCCGACACAGGTCATCCACCAAGGTGACTAAAGCAGTCTCTGCCCCATAACCAGGCCTGAAGCCAGACTGAAATGGATCCAGGAGCTGAGAACCCACATCCAGCTGATCTTGCTCTCCAAAATTAGAGCTTTTTTATACATGAAACACACAGTTCAAATAACATTTACACAGTTCAAAAGCCAAGACAGTCAAACATTCTTTATGTCAGCTGATGTGAAATAAAGTGATAACAATGTGGAAAGTAAAATGATCAGTTCCTTTAAATGTCCAACCTTGATAAAGGATAGCCGTTTCTCCTGGTGCCTACATGCCAAAGATAATTCACACAGGCCTACTACCACATTGCACAGGGTGTTCATTATGTTTCCAAGATGAAGGAACTCACTTTAGAACATGAGGAATTTTTCCTGACAAGTGCTGAAAAGTTGACAGTGTGGTAATGCCAAAAAGTACCCAGTATAGTCTTCAAGTGCTGTATTTCTTCACTGGGCTTTCCCCCCTCTTCTTCTTAGGTTTTTCCCCCTTGATATCTTTTACTTGATGTAAATGTAAGTTGAAGTTCATGATGTCTCATATATTCTGCATTAATGTTGTCAAATTCCAAGTTCCAATAGTTTTCCTCCCACTGTTTGCAGACTTTTAAATGTGACTGAACATGAAGCTAAGACTCAATACATGTGTGCAGATGTACAAATAAAATCCACAGGTGTGTTATAGTTCCTTTGCACATTCATTATCACCAGTTACTATGTTGCTTTGTACAGCCCGCTGGGCCCCCCCAAAAAACACATCCTGGAAATATTCTTGGGACTTATTATCTAACCCTAAGATTAACATTGATGAGAAGTAAATTGTGGTAGAGGCATAGGATGTACCAGTACAAAAACAATTTAAAAACAATCCCAAAAATCTTTGTTGTTTCCATAAGAATCTATTTTAGCTATTTTGAAACAGTGAATATAAAATTAATATCCCTTTCTGTATAGCTTCCAATTTTATATTTTGTTATCCAGGGGCTATTATTATAATATATTGTCATCTGCAGATTTTAGCTTACAGCATTTCTTTATTAAGGGGTTGCCAATTCATATGAAAGGCAATATTCTGAGGCCATGGGTAAAGGACACTATCTGCCAATAAAGTGGGCAGAGCCCATAAAAACTGTCCATTGGAGACACAGAACAATTTCATCTGCATACAGGGCCCTGACATTAAACAATACACGCATACAGTATATGACAGCAGGCCAACATAGCTGAATTCATCCAAACGTAATCCAGGCTCTAACTGTGTCACATTTACAAACCTAGAAATAGATATTCATAACAAAAGTACAGTTAGACACAGATGATACTGTTAAATTAGATCCTGTAAGGATTTCTCAAAGAAATTGAAATCTTAGCACCAGTGTATTAATTTCCTGCTATTATAAGCCTGTTTATGAATGTGGCTTTAGGGAAATGGAAAAAGGAGATGGTTGCTGTTCCAACATTAATCAGAATAAATAAATGTTATGTAACTTTACTAAAGAATACAGTGGCTACATTTTTATTTTCAGCTATAATAATGTGCAAAATGCTACAGCAATATTCTATGTTATATTATGTATTTATTTTATCTATTTTACCTTTGTATGAACAGGTCTATGACCGCACAATAACTTACTTACTGTATTCTTGAATCTGACATTTTATAGTTTTTGGCACCTCATTAAAAAAACAGAAATGGCACCTACCTCCCGACACATCTTTCAAGCAATTAATATATATGTCTAAAAAATTAGTTCTATCAATCAGGGTTAGCTCACATATCAGTGCTACCTAAAACAAAACAGTATTTCCATGCTGAAAATAGTTTTGTTGGGACTTTTTTGTCCCATTTGATTTTTTAAAATTTCTGATTCTAAAGCCATTTAGGGCTTTTTAGAACCAACACATTGGTTGAACCAATTCAGTCCAGAGACTGTGGAGCTGCCGTAACAGGGACACATGATCCTTGTAACTGGCTCCAGTCAGCAATGTGGGTGCTGTGTTTTGGACTCCCTGAAGTTTCCGGACATTTTCCACAGGCAGCCCCACATAGGAAGCGTTACAGTAATTCAGCAGGGATGTAATCACACTATTATACAATGAACTTTACGAAAATGTTTGTATGTTTTTTCAGATAACAAAACAACATTAACAGTAGAACAGCCCAAACTGGATGCTACAAAATATACATGCCTTTGAGTTCTGTTCACCCACTGTGGCAGAGCAAAAGTTGCTTGTAGGAAAAATGAAGTCTGCAAATGTCTCTTTGATGCAAAAATGGATCTGGAACAAAGTTCCACATATCTTCATCGTTGAAGGCAGGAGATCCATAACACGAATAAATTAGTTCCAGCTGTGCAGTCTTTAAAGCCCCCAAATAAAAAGCAAATACAGGTAGTGTACAAATACAAAAGTATCACTGCATGGATTCAGTTGGCAGTACCCTTCTTGTATAGCACAACTCTCTATGATTCACTCTATTAATCCCAACTCCTGCTCTCTCTTAATCCTCCTAAACTGAAATGTTGAATCACAGCCCCTTAAAATTTCTCCAACCCACTGGGATGAACCAAAGTGGTCCACAGGAGTAACGCCAGCACGGAATGCCGTATTACTTCCATCTCAAGAATTACACTTCTTCCTGGGATTACAACTTCTACTCTAGCTCAGTGGAAGCGAAGTCTCTGCCCCACCAGGATGCCATACTCTCCCTTCTACCTACCTAGTTAGCTATTGAGTTACCCCTCCAATTTACAGCATGATATCCATGCCACGATGCACTCCATAATTCTCTCACCACCTTTCTAAAGAACAAACCAAAAAGAACCACCAGGAAAGCATACTTTCGGAAGTCTCTATTTTTTTAAAATAACTCATTAAAGGTCCCGCGACCAACTCAAGCTCCATTTTGGGAGATCCTACAGTTGGGTGGCTCCTCCTTCCCTCCCTCCCTTCCATTTAATCACTCGTTAAAGGCCCCGCGACCAATTCAAGCTCCATTTTGGGAGATCCTACAGGTGGGTGGCTCCTCCTTCCCTTCCTTCCCTGCACCGACCCACCCACCCATCCCCGCACTCGCCTCAAGAGGCAAGTCTCGTTTGAGCCAAGGCCCGCTGCTGGGCGTGCGCATGCGGAATGAAGAGATCGAAGTGGTAACTAGCCAATCCCTTGCCCCTTACTGCCTACAACTCCCAACATGCCGGCTGTCCACACCTGGCGCCTCTAAAAATCATGAGGGAGCAATGCATTCTGGGGAATGCAGTCCAAAAAGTGGGATATATAGAGAGTGTCTGGGGAGAGATTCTGAAAGGAATACACTATCTTCGCCCTATGTCGGGTTTTCAAGTTAGGTTGTAAGGGCACGGCCTTGACTTCCTCTAGCCCCGCCCCCTGTATCAGTTTTGGCGCCAAATTGTAAATCGGATCTTCCGGTTTCAGAGGGGATGTTGAAGTTTCTTTTTCGAACTGCGGAGAGATGAATAGGGGTGATCCCGCGCAGCCCAGTGGTCTCGATGGGTAGGAATATCTGTTGCTGTTGAAGGGGTGGTGGTGGTAGGGGTGGTCTTCAGTTGACGCTGCTGTCTTCCCGGCCTTGAGACGCCTCTTCAGGCTTGCTTCGATTCCCGAGCGCCCATCCCTTCCCACCGCTTTCCTTTACTCTTTTCTGTGAACTCTGAAACGCTTGTTTTCACATCCCCCCCCCGCCGCCCCGTTTTGGATTGGATTAAAGCTAAATACATGACTTCTGAATGCCCTCCTCCCAAATGTTTTCAGAAGGGAGACGAATTTTTGGTTTAGGCTACATTTAAAAGCTTTTTGGTTTGAAACATATCCCTTTTGAAACCCAAGCGTCTGTATTTCTAAAGCAAAGAGATAAGAGGCCTTGCCTTGTGTTTCAGACTCGTAGAGTCGGATTTACAAGTATCAAAGCCAAATGACCGTTTGGGTAGATTACGGGATATTGAACGTCAGTTTGCACGAAGGTAATGTAAAGGGGGAAGGTTGATTTCCTTTGCTTTAGCAGCCTGTAATTGTATAGAAGGGCGATGTGGGGGAGAGATGAGAAAATACGGGTTTGGTGGTTGCTGCATTCATTGAATAAATTCATTGCTAAAGTGGGTGACACGGGAATTTAGCCTTCTGCTAGCCCCAGGAGGAGGATGGAGCACTTGTGTGTACAGTATAAGCGAAAGATAGTTGCAATTAGAATATATTTCGAATGTCATACAGCTGTAGGTTGCACACTGTCCAGTCACTTTGGATTGACACTGACATGAATTAATAATATTCCAAAAGTCCTATGTTAACATACCTGCTCAGGTGCCTGTATTAACTCATCTCATGTTAGGTCTTCTTGCGTTTCTACTACTTTCAGCTTTCTCTCACATTATTGTCATTCCAAGTGAATCTTCTCATGTTATGCCCAAAGTATAATAGCCTCAGGTTAGTCATTTTAGTTGTACTGAAAGTTCAGGCTTCATTTGATCCAGAATCCACTTTTTTGGTTGGTTGGTTGGTAGTCCATGTGACACTGTGTAAGTATATAAAAACAAATGAATAAGGAATCCTTACATCAAATGGGTGAGTCAGCAGCTGTCCCTCCGGAGGTCCTTGGATTACAATTCTCAATAGTCATAACCACAGTATCCATTGATGAGGAATGATAGGAGTTGCAGTCCAACCACTTCTGGAGACCCATATTTTCCTCAGCCATGCTTTACAAGACTGGAAATTCTATAATTCACTGTGAAATTGCAAATTTCCAACATTGTTAATACCAGGAATTATTTCAAGATACATCATTTAGATATTCCCCCAAATAGCATTTTAACTTAGCCTTCCTGTGGTTTTCTTCCAGACACGTGAGCATAATAAATAATACAAAAATAATTAAATGTACAGCACTGTGTTATGAATGCATTTCTCTGTTGCATGGAAAAACTACCATGTGCTGGTGATATTCAAGAGGGACTGATTATTACAAAATGCTTGGAAATTGATAAAACTAAACAATATTACACTATAGGATTTTTATTACAGTCAGTATTCTGAGCAGGAAACAGTGTGCGATTTTTAAAAGCATAACTATTTAGATAAAAATGACTTCCTATGCAAGTATTTCATCTTGACTGTGAAATGAAAAGAGAGGCACGTTTAAAGCAAAGGAAGCAGCAGATGCCCTTGGATAGTGAAGGAAGAAGGTTAATGCTCAAAGAAATGTAGCCAAGGGTGATGAATGTGGTCTTGATCGGTGGAATATTGCCAAAACCTTAATATATCTCAATCCCAGAGCTGATGTATCTCAATCTCTGAATAATACGATAAAATATTATTGAGAGACAGGTATTAATATTTAGCCTGTTTATAAATTGTCCAAACTCAAGAGTTTTTTGCAACATGTGTTAGACAGATAAAGAATGAGATATAGAAAATGAAGAAGTTCTATGAACAAGGTAGACTTTAAATGAAACAGCTTTGTTCTGAGTAAAACCAGACTTTTGTTAGTCGAATTCTGTTGAGCCTTTAAAAAAACAGTTCTTTGGTGACAGGGTTTTACTTGAGGGGTAAAATTGCTAAGATTTAACCATTGGATGGTGTACAGGTTCTTTGATGTATGAATTGCCAAGAGGATTTCATTGATGAATGCATTAATATGTTGCAAATAAATGAATTGATTTCTTGCTGTCAAATTTTATTATGAAAAGTTACAGAAGCATCTTTTATCCCTTGCAGCCTAACATGTTGCCTGTTTCTACTCAAATGAATTTAATTTTGCTATAAATAGAGTATTAGCGAATAAAGTTCAGATTGTTGACAAACTGTGATGTCTCAGACTATCCAGAATGCATACTAATTCAAAGATTTCATATACCAAATATACACTTAGTGCTTCTTTCCTTTCCTTCTATAGAAACACTTTATTGTTATTGTGATATATAATTTCTTGTGTCCTGAAAAAGTTCTTGTAAATATTATGTACTGTTGTTGTCGTTAAGTCGTGTCCGACTCTTCGTGACCCCATGGACCAAAGCACTCCTTATACTGGTGATATTCAAGAGGGACTGATTATTACAAAATGCTTGGAAATTGATAAAACTAAACAATATTACACTATAGGATTTTTATTACAGTCAATATTCTGAGCAGGGAGCAGTGCGCAATGTGTCCTGAAAGATGTAAAGATTAAAATATGGCCAAGGTTCCCTTTAAGCTGGGTGCACGTGCGCATGCGCACAACTCTGCCTCCCTCTGTGCAGCTCGCTTCCTCCTCCATGCAGCGTTTGCGTTTGGTTCTGGTCATGACAGAACCCTGCACACGAGGGGGGCAGAGGCATGCACATGCAGAGGTGAAGTTGTGTGGGTGTGTAGAAACTTTTTAAAAAATTGCCAAGCTAGTGTTAATTAGGCAAGGTGATTGAGCAAAAGTAAGCACAGACCAGCCAAAGAACAGATGACCAGGGAATTACCATCAATTCTGAGCTTTTACATGTTTCCAAACCAGAAACAAGGGGAAGCAGAAACTTGCAGTAATGTCTTTATGTACTCTTTAAGTGAACTTAAAGCATTTTTGCCTTATACACATAACACTCAAGTATGCAATAGCATGTGAGGGTGAAATATCTTCTGTTCCAGTGGATTGTAGTCTCAATATGATGCAAGCTGTTAGCAGGTTTATGATCTTGTAGATAGTGTGGTCTCTCTCTCACACACACAAGTCAAAACGGCTCAATGTTTGTTTGTACACTAGGTGGAAGTAAAATAGAGGAATATATGTCACCACATTTCCATAATTGTTGCAGCTTACTTCGAAAAGTATTGTTTAAAAGCAGCTACTTTTTGGTAAAATGCTAGATGTGGGTCATTGTCTTCCAAAGAGAAGCAAATGAGACATATGAGAAGAAATGCTGCCATGAAAACCAAGGTTATTTGTGTATCTAATATCTACACATTGGATCATCAATACTGCTCTTTATTTATTACTTATTATGACACTTCTATATTAAGATATTTCATTTCAAAAATGTTGAAGTGGTTTACAAAACTGCACACACTAAAACTTACAAGGGCCAGTAAAGTCAAGCAATAGAGCAACGATGAAGCATTATCTTAAAATAACAGGAGTGTCAGGGAAGTGCCAGAGCAAATGAAGAAGTATTCAGCTGTTGGTAGAAACATCCTGTCCTGAGAGTCCCCTTAACTTCAGAGGGAAAATTCATCCCTATGGGAAGCACTGCAGAGGAGAAGGCTCTCCAGCTGGGTGATATCAAGTGGGGTTGAGGGAGAATGTTTATGGCAGGTTGAAAGAGGATCGGCTGCTCCTGTGTGTGAGGCACACTGAGAAGTGTGTAAGCAGGTTGGTTCTTCCTCTGCCAACCAGCTACCCACCCACCTTTATTTAAAGTGTAGGTATGGCATAAGGAGCAAAAACTCTCTTAAAAGTGACAAGGATGGCTGGAGAAATGCCAGCAGAAAAAAGTTTCATCAGCCTAAGCCTGGACTACTCAAAACAACCAACAAGCCTCTCTTAAAATATTGTTCCTCTTTCTACTTATCTAGCTAGAGAACTAGACTCTAGCACACATAAGATTTTCCATCTCAAAACACATATTTGCTTAAATAAGAAGTGTATTTGAAATGCTGCTCTCTGAGCCTGCTGTTCAATCTACCCAGTTCCATTCATATATGCTGAATGGAGAGTTTAAAAAGAAGCAATTACAGGGTGGCTATTGGCTGTCCTACAAAGAGATTAGAAAATGGAGCACTTGACTTCTGACATGAGAATATATATCAGCAACACTGCTTATGTATGGTGTAGTTGAAAGCCCTTTTTTGCAGACAGTAACACCACAAGAAACATTCAGCAAAGAATGTTTCTTAGTCTGTTTTTATTTTTTTAACTGTAATAAATGACACTGCAGTGATACTTGTAATCAAAACAGTTCGTCTAAGAGATATCTTTGCACAAGCAGCTTAATGTCAGTAATGCTGGAGCAAGCAGTATAACCTTTTCCATATTTCTGTACAGAAGGTAATATTGAGGGATAGATAATAGTTGGCATTGCACTGCTTAAAGACTGCAAATTGCTTCTTTAAATGAGATAATTCAGTCTCCTTTTGGCCTTTTTGCTTTGAAAAGTAGTGTTGCTTGTAAGGCACTGGGAAGATATGAAACACTGATATTCTCCACCATTAAATTCTTGATTTGAATGTATAACCTTTGGGGTCATGTGCTGCTCTTTTAGTTGTACTAATTAAACTCCGGTGCCACTCTGGAATTTTACATCACAGTAATTGACTTATTTCCAAAGATTCAAACACGGGGGTCAAAGTACACCTAATACAGTATTTTTTAAAATAAAACAGCTCATGCAAATCAGAACTGTTACTGTCATTTTATGTGATTTCTGTAGGTATTGTTGTGAAGCAACCCATAAAAAACGTGAAGACTATTTGGAATGGCCTGAATATTTCATGGCTGTCGCTTTCCTCTCAGCGCAGAGAAGCAAGGATCCACATTCTCAGGTAGGAATATGACCTACACATATCCAATTTAATTATGAGGCTGTTCCAAGGTACATTAAATAAACTTTGTGTTCAGTCGTCTGTTAGGATTATATTGGTGCATGCGTGAGCTATTTATTTTTCTTGAGAAGCTTGTTCTTACTGTGTACCAGGCAAAGTAAGATTTCACCACAAATTAGTTTTGACATAATGATGGGAAGAAGCTGTGGATTGTGAAGCTAGAATTTGTTCTAATCATATAACTTTGCTTTCTTCTGTATGATGCCATTTGAGATTCTTGAATGGTAACTACTCTGGTGTTTGGAGGTTTTCGGTGCAGATGTTACAGGTCAGCCCAGGTAGAATTGGAGCAGGGTTAGTGCCCACATGCAGCAAACTTCTAGTCTAGATAAGTCCTTGAAGGTCTAAAAGTGAACTACATCTATTCTATTCTAACTTTATGCATCCTTAATTTTTATTACTTTTTATTAGATTCTGCCCATTTTGTTGCTTTATAAAATTCAGTTTAACAATAAGTTTAGTTTAGATTTTTTAAAACAACTATAATGTCTTATTGTTTGTTAATTTTTTAAACATTAATTAAATCTGCAGAGTGTGCTTTAAAACTAATCAATAATATCACCAACAACAATAACAAAAAATAATACAAACGTACCAAAGATTAAAAATCTGGGGAAAGAAAACAGTCATCATTTGCTGCCTAACAAAAAATTAGAACAGACACAAGATGAACTTTCGTGGTGGTAAAATTACAGAAGTGGTAAATTGAAACTGGGAAAAATTTCTGCAATTGCTATTCGCTTATTTTAGCATATGAGCAAATTAATGTCAGAAAAGATAGTCCCAAAGGTAACTAGATCTTAAGCCAAATAGACTTTAAAAACAAACACTTGCACTTTGAGTTGGTCTCAAAAATATACTGGAAACCAGTGGAATGTGTTAAATACTGGGGAGATGTGTGTTTTATCCCTAGTCCCATTTAGTAATTTAGGGTTTGGCATTACTGTGAGCTAGAATTCCCAGATAGATTTCAAAGTCCATAAGCTGCACATTGCTAACCTTGAGATTGCCAGTGGATAACTATGGTGAAGCTACTTCTGTCTTGGAAGTTTTGCAGTTGGATTACTAGCTTTACCTGGTGAAAGGCAGTCTGCCCTGCTGAGATCACTTGGGTCTCCAGTAACTGAGCCTGATCAGCAAATACCCCCAACCACTAATCTAATCCTGAAGGAGTATAGCCCCATCTAAAAAAAGTTGTTGAGCATCACTTCCCTCTACAAACCAGTATTGGGTCACAAAATAAACTCAGTTATAATGATAAACAACATGTTTTCTTATTTCAGGTTGGCGCTTGCATTGTGAATTCAGAAAACAAGATTGTTGGAATTGGGTACAATGGCATGCCAAATGGATGTAGCGATGACTCGCTGCCTTGGACAAGAATAGGAGATAATAAACTTGACACAAAGTATCCCTATGGTAAAGTGTTCTATTTTTAAAATTACATCTCTTGTTTCTGTATTATTTTAAGAGAAGAACATTCATTATCTTTGTTTTGTTATTAATTTTCCCCCTTTGATAGTTTAAAATATCTGGTTTTGGATTGTAGGATTAAAATTAAATAAAATTCAGTTTAAGAGACAGTGAGTGCCCTTTACCTTCATGCTTCCCACATCATTCTACCCACCTGACCAATATTTAGTCGGATTTCTTACTGCATATATACTCAACTGCCAGCTGTGTGTCTCAATTAACAGCATTTTGTTTCATGGAATAGTTTCTTAGATATCACTGGAGATACTATGGTTGGCTGTTTGTTATAGTACAATGGCTTAGCAGAAGAATGTACACTTTCTGATAGAAGCACTGAACTTGCTTCATACAAAAGTTATTCTAGATGGCTCTCTTAGTAATTTCAAACTTACCAGCAAGAGCATTGCAAACTAGATGCATTATTGGAGCTTCATGAGCTGTTGGTGCTTCCATTAGTCTTGCCTATTTTCATGCTGCCTTTTGTTATGTAAAGCTTGGCATCCTTTTTCCTGCTGTAAATATGGGCATGGCAATATTGGGCCATTTCCTGGTATTTTAAATTATGAATACAGAAGCACCATATCCCATACAGTGGTGCCTCAACTAACAAACTTAATCCATTGCAGAAGATGCTCGTAACTCGAAATGGTCGTATCTAGTCTAGACAAGTCCTTGAAGGTCTAAAAGTGAACAACATCTATTCTAACTTTATGCATCCTTAATTTTTATTACTTTTTATTAGATTCTATTAATCCATTCCGGCCAGGGGGAAAAATCACCCAAAAAATGAAACAAAAAAACACCACACACTGCAAGACCTATCAGAAACACGATTAATCCGTTCTGTCCGAAGGAGGGGAAAAAAAGCAAACCCTGCAAGACCCATCAGAAATTCAAAAAAAGCACCAAAAAGCAAACAAACCCTGCAAGACCTATTGGAAGCACGGAAAAAAAAACCCCAAAAGCAAACAAACCCTGCAAGACCCAATGGAAATGGGGGAGAAAAAGCCAAAAAAACAAACAAACCCTTCAAGACTCATTGGAAACGTGAAAAACAACAACCCAAAAAGCAAACAGACCCTGCAAGACACATTGGAAATGGGGGGAAATCCAAAAAGCAAACAAACTGCAAGACCCATTGGATATGGGAGGAAAAAAACCCCAAAAAGCAAACAAACCCTGCAAGACCTATTGGAAACATGGAAAAAAAACCCAAAAGCAAACAAACCCTGCAAGACCCATTGGAAACGTGAAAAGCAACAACCCAAAAAGCAAACAAACCTGCAAGACCCATCAGAAATGGGGGGGGACCCAAAAAGCAAACAAACCCTGCAAGACTCATTGGAAACGTGAAAAACAACAACCTAAAAAGCAAACAAACCTGCAAGACCTATCGGAAACATGGGGGAAAAACCTAAAAAAGCAAACCCTGCAAGACCCAACAGAAATGGGGGGGAGCCAAAAAAGCAAACCCTGCAAGACCTATCGGAAATGGGGAAAAAACCCAAAAAGCAAACAAACCCTGCAAGACTCATTAAAATTCAAAAACAACAAAAAACAAAAAGCAAACAAACCCGTCGGAAACACGAAAAAACCAAAAAAAAGGCTGCAAGACCTATCACAGCACAGAAACTTAACCCACCCCCAGCCCAAAACCACTCTGCAAAACCCACCCAGAACAGGTAGTTTTTAAAAAGCAGAAGCGGTACTTTACCAGGCAGACCAAAGCACACTCTCTAACCGCTGGGGCGAAAGAGCTGCAAAGAAACAACCTCTTCTCCACCAATGGTTAGCAGTTTGAATTCCCTGCCCTTTTCCCTGCCTTTTTTCCAACCATAACTTGAAGCTCTGGTCACAAGTTGAAGCAAAATTTTGCGGCCGGAGCTAGTCATAACTCGAATTGGTCGTAAGTCGGGACGTTTGTAAGTTGAAGCACAACTGTATTCATAATCTGGAGTGTGTTTTTTTAAAAGAATTGAAAACTATTAGGGGGCTGTACTTAAGATTTCTAACAGGTGCAAACCATTGTATTTGTAAGTTGTGGTAAATTAGATATCTCAATATTAGTTTCATATGATGCACTTCATTTATTTTCAC